AAAGGGGAAGCCAGTATTTCTTATGGCTGGAGCAGGAAGAAGAGAAGAGGGAGGTGCCGTACACTTTTAAACAACCAGATATCATGAGAACTCACTGTTACAACAACAGCACCAAGGGAGATGGTGTTAAATCATGAGAAAGTGCTCCCATGATCCAGTTAACTCCCACCAGGCCCCACCTCCAACACTGGGGATTACAATTGAAAGTGAGATTTGGGTGAGATTCCTGCTCCAGTCATATCACAAAATAAAACAATCATTAATGTTTACCTAAGTAAACTATTTCTTCTTGGAAAATGTTGACCAAGAGCCAATTTGCAGGGTTTTTTTTTTTTTTTTTTATTTGCAACGTTGTTTTTATCTGTAACATAACAAGCAACAGTGTATTGCTCCGTGACTTGCTCAGTACTTTCTCTTAAACCATCCTAGTTAATTCTCAGTAATTCTAGCATATATTAATGTTATTCCCATTTTACAGCTAAAGGAAATGAGCTTTAGAGAATTTAAAGGACTCATCTAAGGCCATGCAAGGAAACAGGCATTCTGGGGAGCTGGGTTCTGACTTTGTAGTTAAGAGGATAGACATGGAGTCAAACCCCCTCCATTATCAAACCCTGTGACCTTGAGCAAGTCATTCAATCTCTGTAGGCCTCCCCTTTCCTCATCTATAAAATGTCAATAATATTAATATCTCAACTTGGTTATTGTGAAAAGTAAATGAAATATTAATGTAAATTACTAATTACTGTGCCTAACATATAGTAAGTTAAGTAAGCTATTGGTGCACGTAACTGTGGCAATTACCATTATTACTATTATTACAGCTAAGTCAATAATAATCTGTAGCTGTTCTAACTATGGTGTGTGAAGTAACATGATCTGAGATTAATGATGTGATTTTTACCTTTATTTGAATTTTATTCTCTTCTGGTGGATTTTGTATTTGCATTTTTTGGATCATATCTGATCTTTTCTGTAAAAGATTGAATAAACTCAAAATTTATAAAAGTTTATAATGTATTTGATTAGAAATAGGACATCATAACTATCCAAATATTACTTTACAATGTATTTTTAATAGGCATCAATATATTGCATGCTAATTTCTTGATAAATTTCAATCTTGAATTATATATTTGTCTATAAAATACCTATCAAAATTAATTTACCTCTTTTATATGCAATTTTAAACTAGGTTATCCTGTGAATTAAACATATTACTTTATTTTTTATCATCTGTGATTTATTTATAGATACATACATATGCAGTAAAAGCAGTAAAGGAAGCATTAGAAAGATAAACACAAATTCATGGTGGCAGTGACCTCTGGGGAAAGAATTATAGGATAAAATCATATATACTTTAAAAAGTATTATACTTTGTGTTATGAAATATTCTCATTTGAATGCATGTTAAAATGGAATAAAAGTGGAATAAGTTATAATACTGGTTACTTAGAAACCAGATAATTAAACTTACCTTTATTATAGTGGTACCTGGTTGCCGTTAGAATTACAGTATCTAAAAGGTAACAAATTATACTAAAAATGATATTGGAAGATTTGCAACATGGGTGGTTTTTAATCTCATGCATATTTAAGAGGAGTATGATGACATATATTATTAATGTAATGAATCATTGAGAGCTGCTTACTGAAGGTTTGGAGTCTGTGGGAAAGTTAATATTTCAAACATGCATGTCTGTTAGGGCAATAATTATGGGCAGTGACTCCATGTGCATTGTTAGCTAATGAAGATAATGAAGGAGGATTAACACGGCAAATGCATATCTATAGAACTTGTTCTAATGACACTCACAATGTTGAGCATTCAGCTCACACTGTGTATTTATTTCTTTGCCAGAAGACATGCAGAACCCTAATGATTCATTTTTGTCTTAAAGCCAAAGGTAATTGTACTAGAAGAAAAATGGCCATACTGTAATTTAGCTCGATTAATATGTGTCTACCTATGGCTAGCTTTTAGTTTTGTTATTAAGGACATGGATCCTAGCTGTTTTTTGAGTATTTTTTTTTTTTAATTCCCCAAGGGCTTGAAATATTTAGCGGAGTGAGAATGTGCTAAAATCTTAAAGTAAAGGGATAGTGCTGACACTCAATACAACAAGGAGGCAAGGAAGGAGTTACCTTCTGGTGAGAACAGACTGTCACAGAAGGCTTTGCAGAGGATGTAGCACTTTAGCTGCTATGTAGCTTATAGAGAGTAGGTGAGAGATGGTTCCTGTCCTCCCAGTGCTATAGTCTTGGTGGTGGTGATGGGGGAGCAAGGGGATATGATATACAAGTATGGGTAATTTAAATTTTATATAGTCAGTGGCACAAAATAAAGTTT